GTAGTGCACTGAGCCAGGTTCGTGAACAAAAGACAGCTGTATAACATCGCACAATCTGGGCTCTGTTTACAAAGGCTGCAGGCCTGGCTGAAATATTCGGGCGTCAATGAAGGTCACCTGTCAACTTAGAGTAGTACCTGAATATTACTCCGTGCGGCTATAAACGACTGTTAAATGGAATGATGAATTGTTGAAGGATTTTGAAAACGGAAAAAATGATAGTCATGCCGGCCCAGCATCTTCAACGTTGAAAAATGCCCCGGTCCGAAGTGGTTAAAAACCAACAAATGCCAAGAATTGTTGGCAGAACATTTTAGGCCTACAGTCACTTTGCCCATTTACCACTTTGCCCATTTGTCTCTTCAACCATCTGCCAGGAAGAAGTTCCATATAGTATACGGATTCCACTTGACACCCTGTGCACAAACGCTATGAGGCTAGTCTGAAAAATTCTAAGTGTTTTCTTAGTATATGACCTGTTTTTTCTCTCCTAAATTGAACTTTTCTGGACAGTTGTTGCTTTCTGATGGCTAATGGGTCACAGTGGGGAATAATTACTGGCATCTGGGTATGGAACTCTTCCCCATTTGCCACTTTGCCCACGCACTACTTTGCCCCACAATATTTCGCGTGGTCGTAGTTGCAAGCCCTAATTTCTCAAGCGAACAGAAACTGTCTAGTCTATATGTGTGCTGATGAAGAGGACTCTCTCCTGTGAACTCACTAAACTATTTCTATTTTTTTTTTCAATCATTTTATGTTAGTTTTGGGTTGTCAAAATTCAGAGTGTACTGCATGTTGCATTGTTGTTGCAGAAATGTCTTCATTGAAAATTACAAGGTTTTTATTCAGGAGTGATTTATGCTTAAGCAGTATGCCTACACATTTGGCCTCACAAAAGCTAATAGGAAGATGGAGAAAATCTCAAATGTATAAAACTTGTGTGTTAAAAATGGCTTCTGATAGTTTAAAACTGTCGATTCTGAATACCACAGCTTCACTTATTAAGTTTTCTCCTTTGTTTCAGGGAATGAGCTGGTTTCCAACTTGCCTCTCCAGATGGCTTTGTACTTCAACGTTTTCTTCTTCCCATTTTGGCTTGTCTGCTCCATTGTACTCTTGGAACTAAAGGTATTCTTTGCTGCGTTCAATCAAAGCAGTGTCACACATCAAATCCCGAAGAAAAGCCTGTTTGCTCTTTTTATCATAGCAACAGTTGTAGGGCAGGATTATAAATGACCTTTCCTAAACTACCAAGCTTTGAGATCAGGTTATCAGGTTTCAATGAAGAAAAAATGCACTTTATGTGCAGAAGAACTCCAATGTGAATCTTTACGTTAAACGGGCATCGCAGTACCATTCAATGTCTGTCACAGTTGAAAAGAAGCAAGATATAATATCTGGATATCTGTGAGTCATTTAATATCGTTTTTGTGCTTTCAGTTTTACCACTTGGATGAGATATTTCGGTTTGTGTGTGTGACCATCTATGTCGTGATGGGAGGCACAGAGATCATGAGATTGTATCTTGGATATCTGGGAAATTTACAAGAAAGGGTAAGAAAAACAAGCGACCATACGTGGCTCTCACTTCCAGACTGGTTTCCGCCCATTCCATCCATAGTAAAGCAGAGGAAATAGGAGCTAAGCTAGCCTACTTCAGTCAGGGGCAAGTTTGAGCGGGCACCACTTGTAAACTGCTCTTCCGTTGTACCTGGTATTCAGGATGTACTGTGTGCATAGGTTACCGGGGACAATGGATTGGTGGTCTAGACATTATCATCACTGAAACATATCCTTATTGTCAGACCTTACTTAAAATGGACATTTGTGGCTGTGGATGTTTACTGTAGCATGTTAGTCGCAAAATGCAAAGTGGTAGCCACAAGCAGACAATTTAGATGTGGCTTTCAGAAAACTGTTACCTTTCCTATTAAGCAGTCTCACCTGTGGTGAGTGGTGAGTGGTAGACCAGTCAACACCCTAACCCTATTTGGCTTGAGGCTCCAGTTTAGTGAATTTAAACCCCTTTTCATTCAAGTGACTTGCTCAATTCAAGACAGTTATCTAGAGTTTGGAGTCCTTTCGTTTGGTTTAAATATTTAAGCGGAAATTTTAGGAATGACCTTCATGAAGGCCGTGTCTGAACTGCTTTGCTAAGATGATGAGCACCCGTGTGTAGTTCCCGATTTAGTGTCCAGGCACCCAAATTTTGACACACACCCCCCTCAGGTTCCCGAGCTGGCTGGGTCCTGGCTCCTGACCCTCATCCTCCAGTTCCCCCTCATCATCTTCCTCCTGGCCGTTGAGCGGGCCATGCCCGTCCCTGTTGAGCGGGCCGTCCACCTGGTCCAGCTAACCTTCATCGTCCTGGAACTGGTCTTCGGCTTCTTGGCCCTCCGGGTCATGACCCAGCACCAGATCATGAAGTTCCACCTGCAGGACTTTGACACCATCTTTGACCTGGAGGAGGGTCACCAGGAAGTCATGGGCCGCTACACACCGTTGGCATGACAACGATCGATGCCAAATTATCGAAGTCCAAATGGCTGCACTATATGGCCAACTGTTCTCATGTCCTGCTGTGCACTCCATTTGCAAGTGCCTTGCTGCATAGGGCGGTATTGTCCAATATGTACAGCAAGTACAGTTCCTAAGGCCTACAAAAAATTTGATGGCCTACTAAAATGGGTGGGCCTGTAAAGAAACCATAGTGTGCTTTCTCTGAGAATTTTCAGTGTTGCAAAAGCTAGAAAGTACATCATACGTGCAAGTCCAACTTGGCATCAATATGAAATGTGAACCTCCAGCACTTACCAGCACTCTGAGATTGGTACCAGTGCCTTGGCTGGAGTGTGGCCTAAGGAACACTCGTGCTTAAGGTCTGGGGAACACTGGTGTGCAGGGCCTACAGAACACTGGTAAAGTTGTGATTTAAACAGACATATACATGTACGAATGTGTACACTGTAGAAATCGTTTTCTGTAAAGTGTAAGAATGTGAAGGCAGGATTGCTGAGAGATTCTGTGATGTTGAGGAAGGGTTAAATACAATGGGAATTTGTAAATTTTGTCTTGCAGATTTTTTTTGGAGAACAACTTTGTTGGTTACCCAGTTTAAAGATTAGAAATGGAAGCTGTTATAGGTTGCTGTGAACTGTTTGCCAAAGGGACCCAATTTCATAGACAGTGCTTTGCAGGAAAAAAAATAATAATTGCTTAAAAAGAGTTTCTAAGCTAAGCAAAATTAAGCTTGAAACTAATCAGGGCAGTACTTGTCATGTGGTTTTTCGGTTGCTAACCTAATTGTGGCCAAGTAAATAATTGTCTGCGTTTGCTATTCTTATCGCCATGAGATTAGACCTCAGAGTGACCTGAAATATCAAAAAAGAGAGGGGGGGGGACCTTCCCATTGGTATTCTTTTTTATGGCCAATTATTGATTGTTAGTTGATGTGTGTGTTGCAGGACTGGTTTACACACTTCCTTGTATTTCTTTGTCAACAGGTTGAAGTGTGGTTTGTCCATCCTGTTAAAAATGTAACATTTGTGGCTCTTTCCAGTTAATTTTTGTCACTTTGATGAGTACTCCAGTGATTTAGTAG